ATCGGGGAAGGGTGTGCCTTGTTCTACGACTCCGCCCGCCTTCCTGTTGTCTACATATTCCTTCCTCCGGTGACCATTATGGTTTGGCCATTAACATAGCTAAACAGTGGGCTGCAGACACCAAGAATAGACCTCGCGGCTTCCGTTGCACTCGCCGCTCGTCGAAGGGGAATATCAGCGTATGCCTCCTGAGACTCCTTGGTCTGGGTAGGCAGCTGAGAGCCGGGGATGCCGAGAGCAACCTTCTCGCCGTCTGGAGTGGTGATGAAGGCCCCGGTCTCCTTTGCTTGGGTCAATCGGGTGAGGACGAATCCAAAGGCAATGGTATTGGCTCGCACACCGAATTTTGGTCCCCATTCCTTAGCAATGGTTTTGGTCAGACCGACCATACCTGCCTTGCCAACCGCATAGTTTGCTTGTCCACTAAGGAAATGCGTAGTTAGAACCTTTTCTTTACTCATTGATTCTCTTTTCAAGCCAGAGAGGGAATGGATGTGACATACGCGTTTCCATGGATTCCACTGGTGCTGCTGATGTTCACAATTATCCTTGGTTCACCGTCCTTTACCCGGAAGTATGGAGCAGCAGCTTGAACGAGTTTGAAAGGAGCAGTGGCATGAACAGCAATGATGGTGTCCCATTGCTTCTCAGTAAGCTATAATGTGTTTGGTTTGTCAACCAGCTGAGTCCATACAAATATCCAAAAAGAAAAAAAATCAACGGGTACAACTTCGAGGGGGTATACGGCACCTTGTGGATGACTCCGTCCCAGGTGAATCCAGCGTTGTTCACGATAATATGGATCTTTCCGTTTCCGAACTCAGCGGCCCTTTGTACGAGTCTCTTCAGGTACGCTCCATCCTGTACGTCTCCTGCAACGGCAATTGCTCTGCCAGGGGAAGCATCATTGATTGCTTTGGCAACGGCCTCGGCCTTGGCTATATGGTATCATTGATGTATGAGCATATTCTGTCTTTTGTTCCAGTGTCTACCGAGGATACCTCATAAGGTATTCATTGGTTCTAGTTGAATATTGGATATGGTCTTACTGACAGCTGTCAAGGTCAGCGACGACAACTTTGGCACCCTCGTTGGCGAAAAGCCTAGCAGCCTCTGCCCCTATGCCCTGTCCTGACCCGGTTATAATGGCTACCTGACCAGCAAGCATGCCTTGGGGGTAGTTGAGGTGCGCGGAGACCTGGGTCAGACGGTCTTGAGGAGCCATGATTGCGTTCGGGGGGTGCGTACAGGAGTAGCTAGGTAAAGTGGGGATAACTATACGTAAAAACAAAGGAGGGTAAATAGCAAGCACAAGGCAAAACGGTGTATACACAATCTATAAGGAGTCGAGATGTACGGAGTAGACGGGGCGAAGATGCAGGCCGGCTTCCGAGGCAAGCATGCGGTGTACAAGAAAGGCGACGTTGGGGAGGCCAAGAAGGGGAAATGCCGAGGTCCAGCACAGCTTGCGACTGGACGAAACACCCGAAAATGCCGACAGGAGGCAGAGGCATGTCAACTCATTATTGTTGCTATGATGATACTCCGTACTATACGAGAATAGAGCGCCATTGTGTTGGGTTGCTGGTTGAGAGAGACAAGAGAAGGCAGCGGTGGGTGGGAGTATCGATATTATTATCAATATTAATAGTCTAATAGCTATAATTTACATAGGTCATTGGTGTGCTGGAGGGTGGTTTTTGACAGTCATCTCTTTAGGTCAGTCGTTCAGCATTGAGTAGCCAGGCTGTGCCGGTAGTCAAAGGCCGCCAGGAGGCCAGTCAGATGGGCGCTGGCCGCAAGGACAACCAGGACATGGAATATCTGATGCGAGTGCCCGATGATGTCGTACTTGCCCGGATGCAAACACTCAGGCACCCTGGCAGCATATATGGCTGCGCCGATGATATAAAGGGCCCCCTGAGTTATCAGCCAGTCCAGCCCAATCTGCTGGCGCGCCTGGCTGAATCCAAGCACCACTACGCCGTGCGTAACGGGGAACACAGCAGAGAGGCCCAATGCTACAAACATGGCGGCTCGAAACGGTCGCAGCGCCGGTTTGCGAAAACGGGGGATTGTCGCGACGGCTGCACACCCGGCTCCGAGAACCACGATCATGCCCCAGTAGAGTCTCTGGAGCTGTGGTGTACAGTAAAAGCCGTAGTAGATGCTGGGGATAAAGCTGCCAGTGATCAGACCTATTATTCCGAGGTAGTCGCAAGCATTGCCGATGTAAGCAGCCCACGGCGAGTGGTTTGATATCGTATGGTATAAGGCACTCATCCCAAGACAGAACGCCGCACCAGCGAAGAAACAGCTGAACACGACGATGTCTGCCGGAGTTGCCGTGTGGTACCGTGGCGAGAGGGCCTGGTAGAGGACGAACGACGTCGGGAGGGTAAGGAGAGCCGGCAGCAGGTGGGTGTAGATGTTGACGGTTTCATTGTGGACGTAGGTCAGCGAGTGGAAGCTCCGCAGGAACGAGGCAGAGGCCGGCCGGTAGCCGGTATGGATGTGGTGGTTATCCTGCAGCCAGCGAGGCAGAGCATCCCAGTGGACTGTTGCAGTCCAGCTCTCCTGCTCCAGCACTTCTGCCTCTGTCTCTGTCTTTGTCTGTTGCTGGTGCTGCGATGTCTCTGCCTCCTCCTTCTTGTAGACGGCGGCGGCGGCAGCAGTGGTGACTGCTCGGCGCTGCAGAAGAGACATTTTCTCTTTCTGTTTGTTTGTTTTGCTGTCCTCTTCTTCTTCTTCTTCTCACAACATGCTTCTTCCTGGATCCTTGATACCAACAACCAGCAACAGCAGCCCAGCAGCACAGGAGAGAGATCTGTGAAGCCCTCAAGCTTTGTTGTCTTTTCTTATCTCAACATCTTTTCCTCAACATCTTCTTTATCAGCACGTGAAAGTCTGCAAACAGTGCAAACTGGCGGCGCGCATGAGGTCATGGCGGGAGAGAGTCGCCGGTAAGCAAGAAAAGACACAACGACGACGACGAGGACGCGGACGCGGACGAGGAAGACAGCCAAAAGCTGCGACTCGGGCAGCGAGGGTCGCGTCTGTTCACGGCTGGGTGGTTCGAGTGCTCACGTCTTGTCTTTTTTCTTCATCTAGTTCGAGCCATGGAGGGCCCGCGGTCGAGCAATTCCTCTCCCTCCAGAAGTCGACTGAGACCGCCGGTGGTCGATCCATTAGAGCAGGCAGGGTTCGTTTCTAAGGGAGATACCGTGTAGGATGCCCCCCAATATCCATATAACGTTTTGCTTCTTTCCTTCTATTGTTTTTCTTTATCGCGTTGGCGGCGGCGGCGGTGGTGGTAGCTAAACTGTTCTCTGCTTCAACAGGCTGCTCAACGTGAAGGCACAGTTCGCCTACTATGAGAGAATCATGGAGCGGTACTTGAAATTCTGCAACGACTACTCAAGTGACATCGATGCAGCCTTTGCCTCCCTTCCCAAGTATTCGACCGAAGATGCAACCAAGAATCCGCCAGTGGCTGGCGCTTCCACCGCTAATAAAGAATCTCCGCCCAACCAGGCACCACAAAACAAGTCCTCTCGACCTGAGACCCTGTCTGATTCAGCATCAAAGGACCTCTCAGTGCTGCTTCTATCACTCCGCAAACTGCGAGAAGGCGTCGTTGCAACCGCGTCCGAGACCCCGTTGGAATTTGCACAGCATGTCCACGTTTTCTGCATTCGAATGGGAATCCTTGCCGCGCACCCTCCATCCTATTATGTGCCACTGAGGCGTTTGCTTCATGAGCTGAACGAACCGTCGAGCGCCCTCAGTGAATCCGATTTGCACGAGTTTACCTCCTACCTCATTCTCGACTATGTCTGCCGGCGCTCTGACCTCAACCTTGCATTCGAACTCCGCGCAAAGTCTAAAGCCGCCTTTGGATATTACAACATCACTGTCGATAATATCGTTTCTGCCTTGCTGCATGACAATTGGGTTCTCTACTGGAAATCCGGGAGGCATGTGGACGGGTATACGAGGTCACTGATGAGCTGGTCTGATTCCTATATGCGACGCAGGGCCCTCAAGGCTATCGCGAAAACTTATTTGACGGCAGACATACGCTTTATCATCGAAAGTTGCACAGGTTCGCCAGACGGCTGCACGTGGGAGGAATTGGTCAAGTTGGAAGGCATCGGATGGCGAAGAGAAGGTGACAAGGCCGTAATCCGGATTAGGAAGCCCAAGGCTGCGTGAACGAGCATTTATCCAGCTGGCATCCGAATGCCAAGAGCCCATAATCCATTGCCAGTGGTGGTAGCTGCTTTGCCAAAAGGGACGGCTCCATTGTGGAATTGAACGGCCTGGGTTTTGAAGGTATGACAGTCCCAGCCATGAAGGCGATAGGTGGTTAACCATACTAGGGTATTGGACTAATGCACGCAAACAGGCCATTTTTCAACGAAAGATATGATAAATATGAGTCAAAAAACGAAGGAAAAAATAAAAATTAAGTAAATGAAAAAAAAGAAAAGCAATACACTCCAACAAGAGGTTTAGATCTTAAAGGCCCCATTTGGTATTTCCCAGTTGCGATGCTCTGATTGGGGATGTTCGGCCACCCGCTCTGCCAATGCTGCCTTGAGGGCCCCTGAATTCTCCGAGCAAAGTTCGTACACGGTGGCTAGATTGAACGTGAGGCTTTGGAAAGAGTTGTGGTCATCAACAAGCGACTCCAGGATTTCGCGTGACTTGATAGCAGGAGTTAGTTAGCCTTCCTCTAGGTTGATATAAAAAAAGAAATTCCCAAAAATAAATTAAATAAAAAAAAAATTACACATGGGTATCTCAGTTAAAAAGAAGTTTGGCCTTACCTGTTTTAGATCCCCAACATACAAAAGGCAGACTGCAAGGTTCTGCTTGATGAGAACCTCGTCATCCGTGCCACTGTAGGTTTTTAGAAGGTCGTTCCAACCAGTGACAGCTTCATCGAATTTACCCTCGGCCATCTTTAGTAACGGCTCAACGATGTTGGCTGACGGGTTAGAAACACTAGAAATAGATCCTTCGCAGAATCTACATCTCCTACCCTTAGGTGCAAAAGAGCTCTTTGTTGCAGTCTGTGGGCGTCACTCTTGGATGGTGATGCCATACTAGCCAGAGACCGGCGGGCAGCCTCCAAGTCACCCATTTCAACCAAGGCGTTAACAACACGGATACCTAGATCACCAAGTCTGGCTTTCCACAGTGCTTTTTCCTCAGCCCCGACATCAGGACGTATGATATGTCTCCTAGCTTCTAATCCAAGGTCATAAAGTCCAGATATACCTCTCCTGGTATCACTAAACCCAATACTCTGCAGTCTTACGGCAATAACACGAAGAGGCCAGGGAGCAAGGTGAGCTCTTTCCGGGGGTTCCTGGGAGCTGCCGTCCTCCTTTGGAAGATCAGGTTTGACGTCTACATAGTAGAATGAAGAATTCAAATCTTGCAGGGCTTTTGATTCCTCTGCTGCTAGGAGAGTATTTCCCGTAAGCAGAAGACAGGTTAGGCGAGTATACAAGAGGGAAAATATCGCGGAATAGTCAGTGGAAGTTATCAGGCTGGAGGTTAGGATCGTAGCGGCAAAATGTGCTGCGGGAAGGTAATGGCCTTTTTTGCATAAGTCATCAAGCTGTTGTAGTGCCGATTCCAACGGCTGACCGGGCAGCAAGCTTGGGAACTCTGAACGGAAGGGTAGGGGTATTTCCAACTGCGAGAGAGGGTGAAATATCTCAGGCTGGCGCAGGAAGGAGAAGTTCTGGGTCACTTGGATATGTGAGCTATCCTTGGGTGATGCAATTAAGTCTCTTGCAGGGTGGAATGGCAATGAACTGGTCTTGGAGTCTCGATTCCCAGATGCGGCGGCTGGAGTTGGAGAACGGGTATTTGGTCTATCAGACGCAAAATTCGTCAGAGACGCCAATCTGAGCGTTTAATAAGGAGATAAAACCGTACTCATCTGGGATATCTAACGGTCCCTTTGTTGAGCTACGCGGCCGAGTAGCTGGGCCATCATGTCAGTCTGCACTGCTCTAGGTCAAACAGGATGAGCAGACATACCTTTTACAGACACATTCCGCCGATGCTGTGAGCCGGAGGGTTCCATGGTGAACATATACACTCACATGCCACACACTTCCTCTTTCTCTCTTTCTCTCTCTATCCTCTGTTCTTTGAACTGCAGCAGCCTGTGTCCATCCTGCTCCCAGCACACTCTGGCCCAAGAGGTTGAAGTCATGGAAAGCTTGGACGGAAAGAAGAGGGTTTCTGCCAGGCGGTGAGTGCACGGACCACGTGAGCCCCCTGATTACTTCATCACTTTTCTCTCTTTGGGAGGGAGAAAGACATGCAAAGCATCAAACAAGCCAGCAAGCCATCAACAAGGGAGCTTCTGCAGACTTGCTTTGAGGCCACACACACTCTCTCCATTGCTAATTCCCGTCTTTCTTTCTGCTGGTCGCATTGTCTAATAGCGTAATAGCGAGTTCCGCATGCCCGGCCGGGGCCCTCGATATCGACCAACCCTAGAAGCCGTGGACCAAGAAGCCGAATCGCAGTTCGAGCAAACACCAATTCCCTCGCATTTAAAGATGTCGCCTGCAAACAAGTACTCCGTTATCCTGCCTACCTACAATGAGCGCCGAAACCTTCCAATCATTTGCTGGCTGATTGAAAAGACTTTCCGTGAGAAGTGAGTGTCGAGTCTCCCAATGGCTGCTAGCATCCCCCCCTCCTCACCCCTTATCTAGCCCCTCTAATTTATTGCACCAATTCCACATTAGAATTGACATGCTAACGGGATAATTTACAACTATTTAGCAAGCTTAACTGGGAAGTTATTATAGTTGATGATGGCTCCCCAGATGGTACACTCGAGATTGCAAAGCAGCTCCAGGCTGCCTATGGCGAGCAACACATTGTATTGAAGCCTCGTGAAGGCAAGCTTGGCCTTGGAACCGCATATGTCCACGGCCTTAAGTTCGCTACTGGAAATTTCATTATTATAATGGACGCGGACTTCAGCCACCATCCCAAATTCATCCCGGAGATGATCAAGATTCAGGAAAGCACCAAGGCCGATATTGTCACTGGAACTAGATACGCTTCGCGTGGAAACTTGCGCGGCGGTGTGTATGGATGGGACCTGGTCCGAAAGCTCACATCCCGTGGAGCTAATTTAATTGCCGATGTTGCATTGATGCCAGGTGTCAGCGATCTGACTGGTAGCTTCCGCCTCTACAAGAAACCGGTTCTGGAGAAAGTGATCAAAGTTACCGAGAGCAAAGGATATACCTTCCAGATGGAGATGATGGTTCGTGCAAAGGCAATGGGATACAAGGTCGAGGAATGCCCTATTACCTTTGTCGACCGTGTCTACGGCGAGAGCAAGCTCGGCGGTGAGGAGATTGTCGAGTATCTCAAGGGTGTTTTCACTTTGTGGCTCAAGGTTTAATGTAATTGAGATGGCCTTTCCAATTTCTATCTTTTTGTCTCCCCACTTTTTAAAGGGTTATTTTCCTTCGTGCACGGCGAATTATGGGGGCATCGGAGGGTCAGGTTACAGGCACTGTTATCAATGGGGGAAGGTTGTCCTTTTTTACACTACGAGGTTCTGACCTGACATGTTATTAGAGACTTTTAATACCTGCGTCAATATGTCGAAATAGAATGCCCAATAAAACAGATTCAAGAAACTTCTATTATACCTAGCTTTGGGGGCATATCAAGATTGTTCGAGTCCGGCAAGGAATTTCTGGACTCTCGATAGCAAGTCCTGTATAGGTTTAACTTGCCACTTCCCTTGAGGGGAGTGTCTTGCTCCAGGGACAACGCCGCTATTCTCATTCCAAATAGCAGGATTATCACTGCCCGCCTTAGTAGCGGTTTCCCACCTCTTGAGCAAACTTTCCATATCCACCCATTCCGGTATGTATTCATCAGAGCCTCCAGGCAACACAAGGATTGATCCATTCAAGTGGCCTCTTTTCCCTATCATGCCGAATGTCTCTTGCAGCCGTTTGTCTTCAAGGTCAGAACTAAACAGGTCATCCTCCAGTGGTGATTCTGGGCTATCTGGGCTGGTTAGGCTCAAGAATCGCTTGCTGCTGACCGCAACGCTTGACGGAAACCCTATGCGTGATGTCATTGAGATGGGCAAGATATAGCCGTTATCTTTTTCATTTAGGTTGGACTTTGCAACGTCAACCAGTTCATAAAATATTTCGTTTACAACCTCCGCGGAGTCATTGGCAGTACCGGTTTCGAGTATGGAAAGAGTGGACTCTCGATCGGAGACTGGCGCTTGGAGAATAGCGCCATCTACTGCTGGTCTGGTCTGCTCTGGGGCTTGGGTGTAGAGATAATGCAGAACATCTTGACTTCCCGTCGAATGCCCCATTATTGCAACCTTACCAGGTTCGTTGGCGGCTTCACCCTGATATTCACGTGCTTTTAGGGCTTTAACGTAGTCGATACATCGTCCCAGCTCTTCCACATCCTTATCAAGGCTGCTCATCCCCCATCCGGTATGCGATGACGAGAGCAGAACAAAAAACACGGACCAGTTTGATGACTCGAGAGAGACAGCCAGATCATTCATAAATGGAACGGTACATAAACCGTCTGAGAGCCCCGCAATCAGTAGCAATGCATGAGGTTTCGCCTTGCTGGCAGTGAGTGACTTGTACTCAAACGTATTGAGGCCTGCTGACTGAAAACCGCCGTCAGTTTGCGTTCTGAAGGTTGAAGGGAGAGCTGGGTAATTATCAGAAGTAAGTAAGTGTGATATATAGCCCATACATATTGATGAAGCACACCAGCCCTCGTGGTGGCTGGGGGCGATTCTGGGTCCATCTCCTCGACAACGTATCGTCTATGGGTATTTATTTTCCCCAATTATCCTATCTATGGGATCTCCTATTGAGTGCAAGAAGAACTATTTATACAGGTTGAACGTTTTAGATTGATTGTCGTCTTGGAGGAGCAAATTGGTGAGATGTCCGTCGTTGCACGGAAGTTCCGCTAATTAGCTAACTAACTAACTAACTAGTTAACCTTAAAGTTAAAAATAGGAGCTTCTGGAGCGGAAAGCTTAAATCTGCCAGGGGCGGACATCTCATATCTGGATTACCACTTCCGTATCTCTAAACAATGGCGAGCAGTGGTGTCTTTGAGCGAACGGCCAGTAGTGGGGGAAAGAGAGCTAACGGTCTCGTATGTAGTTTTATATGGCGAGTATTTTCCGATGCACAGCGCCTGTATAAAATGCCCTGGGGATATATAGAAGGGCGTAAGACAAGCTATTCATGAGCCAGATCCTCCACACGGAGCAAACCACTCCCCATCCCAGCACATGCCCATCCAGAGCACGATGCATTTGGATTCCAGGCAATGGCTGTGATGGCAGTTTGCTCTTCATATACAGTCATCATGCCCACCTGGCCTATCTCCTTATCTTGAGCTGATGAACCCTTGGCTAGGCTCGCTGTTTCTGCCTTGAATCCATCATAGAATTTAACTACTGGTCCCGGAGTGATGTTATTGTTTCCCCCATTAATCCATTCTTGCGAAAACCAGGTCTGCTGCCACTGCTTTTCCTTGGAATGAATGAGCTTTCGGAGGGGGTTGTTCCCTATCACCGCTCCTCCCGCGTTTCCTGCGAGAATGCAGGGGTGATGTAAACTTGCAGTCGCTAAGGAGGTGGCAATACTTCGAGACTTGAGCGCAGCAAGGCTCGAAAAGAAGCGGCGGAGAGGAAGAAGCCGAACAAAGTCTCCTTCGTCATTGGTAATAAAGGAGCGTAAAAAAGGGGAGTAGACGAGGCATTGAGTCCCTATCCTCAGTCGAAGCGCATCAACCACTTCCGCTGCTGGATCTTGGAGGGATACCAGCCGCGTCTGACCACCGACGGAGGTTGCTGCAATAATATAAGGATGGGTAGGATAAGCTGAAGCAACGTTAAGTATGTATGTGTCGTGGATTGGGACGTATAGATACGGCTCAGGGTTGGTAATTGATTCTCTTCGAGCCGACTGGACTAAGCTCCATACACCAATAAACCCGTTTGCACTTCCGATAGCTATATCTGTGGGAGACAGCCAGGTGAAGCAAGTACAAACTGTTGATGGAGGTTTGACTTGAAAAGCTGGTGTTTTTAGGTGAACTGATAACACGGTTAGATAGATATGGTTCGACAAGGGCAATAAAACATGATGTACATACCGTACTTGGTTTCACTTTTGCTGTCGCTTAAGTCAACATTGAAGACTTTGACAGTGCCATCGCTCCAAAGTCCTGCTAGGAGGGCGGGTCTCGGTCTCGTGGTCTTACTATCATTTCCATCATCTGAATCCCGGTTGACGGAAATAGGGCACCAACAAAGGCGGCTTATTGTGCCAAATTCCGTGCAGATAACCATATGCAAGAATGGGGGTTTATTCATGTTCAGTTTCCGAAGTCCACTCTTAGGGTCCCTGGCTTCAAACCTCCAAATTTGGATTGCTGCAGGATATGGCGGCGAAGGAGTGAATGCAGGGGCACCTCTGATATTTCCATCATCAAACTGTGCTTTCTGACTGTCATGGATAGGAGCTACAATGGCCAGGAATTGAGAGTTTCCATTGCAATTATGAGCCCAACTGAGACATTGGATTTTACTCCCGAGGTTTATGATCCAACCCTCCCGGGCTTTAACTCGGTTAGGTGCGTCCGAAGCCCGCTCATTTGCTTGTGAGACGGGTGCTTCTTCTGACTCCTGTTTTATAGCAATGGATTCTGTAGAAGGCCATGCTGAGGAGAAGTCAAATGACTCACCGCGTCCTAATAAGAATGTAGTTTGAGCATCCGATGGGCCGATTAGCACGGTTGTCTTCGGTATCTCCTTGCTGGGTAGATGTGTATTTGCTACGTCTTCGGTAATAGGGAGAGTTTGCTGTTTCCCACGGAACCGGGCCCCTATATCACTATAAAACCAGTCCCAGCCTGTAGTGGACTCACGGATATTCGTCTCTCTGTCGACCCCAAATATGTCTTTACTTCCGCGCGAATTCCAGCCAATGCATACCTGGAGACTTTCTCTACTTGGGAAAGTCAAATCTAACCCCCCTGACCAATTGTCTCTGGTATGTATTATGGGTAGAATGTCTTGATCCCCAGACCCGAAGGTCAGCCTTAGTTGAAGAGTCTTAGAAGAATGGTTAGACGGTTTCAGCAAGCCGCGTGAGTAAGTTTGGGTATTTGGCTGGTCTTTCTTTTGCGCTAATGCCATATTTTTCTCTGTTAGCGGTATATTCGAAAGTAAAACTGAGGCTCAACCCTTAGGGTTGGATTGGCGCGTCCCCAGTACTACCCAGGGGATATCTTAGTGGTGACTTACGCCGGTCTAGGTTTCTTCCCTCCTTCTTCCGCCGTTTATTAATACCCTCATCGGCCTCATATTCCTCGTCTGAAAATTCAGATGCTGGATACTGTGTGACTGCCTCGTCTTCATAGTCTGGGTCTGGTATAGGTGTTGAGCCGTTGGTTTCAGCAGCGACAATCTGTTGCTCGGCTGCACTCATTGCATCCATGCCTTACTTTGGGTATCATACCTTCCCCTCGTGCCAAGGTATAGTGGTATATAACTGTTGTAGAATAGAGTGGTGAGAATATTCACGCTGAAGTGAACTTCAACTGGCGCATCTTTATTACCTTGAGTTAATACTATTACATAATCATAACTATCCGGGTCGAAGAAGCAAAGAAGGCATTGTCTAATGGCTATGAATAATAGTAAAAAGAGGTATAAAGATACTAGAATCTTTGAGTGTAGGGTAGTTTCAAGTCATATTAATTTCTATTTTCCCGGTAATGGTATAATGGCTGGCACATTATCATCTAATACATTAAAAGCCCAGAATACAATTTAATTTAATAAACCCCAAAAAACTCCAGTCAATGCATGCATGCAAATAGTCTTAAAACGCCGCAAATATTAGCACTGCTGACAGCTAGTACCTTTCCCCGACAATCTAGCCGTATAATCCCCGCCGGAACCATGGCGCGAGTATTCAATTATGAAAGCCCTAGGATCCAGAGTGCGAGTTTATGCACCAACATGAGGGATAAGCGAAGGCATGTGAAATGTCATAGAAGCAGCCTGTATAGGGCTGTTGGCTGCACCAGTCGGAAGTGGCATATGAGAGGATACCGGCGGGTAGGTCGTAGTAGGCGCGGTTGGAAATTGCGTCGTTACAGAGGTATGCTTGGTTGACGTGGCATGGGTAGTAGTTGTAGGCATGGATGTGGTTGTCGTGGTAACCTGACTTGATGAGGTAGTGGCAGGTGTTGACGTTGGAGAGCTTGATGTTGTAGTTGATGTGGTTGACGTCGATGTGGGTGTGTTTGGTGGAGGTGTAGTCGTTGTTATTGTTGTTTGAGGCGTTGTCGACGATGGTGAGGTATAGGATGTCGTCGAGGTAATGGTTGTAGTAGTAGTTGTCGAAACAGAAGGCTGCACCGTGTGGGTGATCGTTGCTGTATGGGTGACTGGAGGTAGAGTCGAGCCAGGTTTATCAACAGTGACCGTCGCATATATATCGGTTGAAGGCGTTTCAGGCCCTCCGTCAACCTGGACAACTGAGTAAGGTACTCCCCGGGGCAGATGAGATATCAGCGGCAGTGAGCTCGACAGGTGAGCGAGCAGTGCTGCCGATAGCAAGACCTTCTTGAACCTAAGCTGCATATCTGTGGTATGCTTTAGCCAGACTGAAGGTAGGATTCTCAATCTACACTTCTGTATCTCGAAGGATGGTGGATGTTATTAGAGGATATTATATATTTCATCAAAGATCTTTAAATAGCTTTCGGGACGTCGTTAGGCGTAACTTCATGAAAACAGGATATCATATATCATCAGCCACAAATAAAGGAAAGGTCATAAAAGAAACAAGAAATCACTTCCGTTCGGTGTTCTGTTTTCTGGAGATGGTACTTGGTGAGCCCCCGGTTTTTGTGCATTTTCGCCATTAAGAAATGCGGTGGTTGGGAGTCCCAGCCACCAAGTTTCTCCAAATGAACCGCTACTAGAGTCTTCCGGTTGGAGGATGTAACCATTCATTTCTCTTTGACAAATGAAAGAGCATGGAGCGCAGTCGGCTCCATGTCATGCGCGTAATCCATATCCATGTCCGGAGAGTCCCAGGCCAGCCCTCCGCCTTGCATCTCCATCGCGGCGCCTTTGGAGATTGTTTTGTTGCCAGCCAAATTCCGGGGAAGTTTTTAGTTTTCGGACAGGGTTAAAAGCAGCGAGTTGAAACGGAGTGCGATCCATGACTAAGCTAAAACAGCGCCATGTTCTTCCATTTATGGTCTAGCGCAGGTGCTTCCTGTTTCGGGTTAGCGTTGTTTAGCTCATCTTGGGCAGGAGACTCCAACTCGGCTTCTGGATGATGTTTTGACGACAGCCAGCTTGTTTGATATCGAGATGAGCTTTTCTCCTGCTAACTGTGTTGTTCTAGCGACCTCTAGCTGATTACCTATTACCTGTTTTTTTCTTTACGGTGCTTTACACTTTGCGCGCTTAACACCAGGTTCCAGGTTGGAGACCTATTGCGGCCCACGATGGCCAGTGCCCCCCATGTCCCGGAAGACCAGAGTCGCCTCCTGGAAGAGGCTCTTGGGGTGGTACGACAGCAGTCGCATATGATGCGAAGATGTCTGGAAACACCTGGGAAGCTGATGGATGCATTGAAATGCGGGTAAGTAAAGGAGACGGGCCAACCTCTATACTAGGCTGACGCAATTATTTAATCTCTACATTTGCACATGTCCTGGATACTATACAATTCGCTAACACCCATTTTTAACCATCAATTGCAGATCTACGCTGGTAGCTGAGCTTAGAACACCTACGTTGGGACCAAAGCAATACTACGAATTGTATATGGCGGTATTCGATGCGCTTCGTCATCTGTCAGACTACCTTCGAGAATCTCATCCAGTGAATCACTTGGCGGATTTGTATGAGCTGGTTCAGTATGCTGGAAACATTGTCCCCCGCCTCTATCTTATGATTACCGTGGGCACCGTATACATGTCTATTCCGGACGCTCCAGTCAAGGAAATTATGAAGGATATGATGGAAATGAGTCGAGGTGTACAACACCCAATCCGCGGACTATTCTTGAGATATTATCTCTCTGGCCAAGCGCGGGATTATTTACCCATGGGTTCTGGCGATGGACCCCAAGGTAACCTCCAAGATTCCACTAACTTTGTTCTGACCAATTTCGTGGAAATGAATAAGCTATGGGTACGACTACAGCACCAAGGCCATTCCCGGGAACGAGAGAAGCGAACGCAGGAGAGAAAAGAATTAGAGCTCCTTGTTGGAAGCAATCTAGTTCGTCTTAGCCAGCTGGTTGATTTGGAGGCGTACAAATCAGCTATATTGCAGCCTCTCCTGGAGCAGGTAGTTCAGTGCCGAGACGTGCTTGCGCAAGAGTACTTACTGGAAGGTAAGCTTTTAATGTCGTCCAGTTTGACCAAATATCTACTAACACATCCTTACAGTGATAACAAAAGTATTTCCGGATGAATATCACTTGCACACGTTGGACTCAATGTTATCTGCTATCGCAAGATTAAATCCGCATGTTGATATGAAAAAAATTGTCATTGGTCTCATGGATAGGCTGTCAACTTATGCTACTCGTGGTTCTGAAAAAAGTGATGATCCCGAAGTAAGAAAGAAGGCCGAAGAAGAGGCAACAGTGCGGCTATTGGAAAACCTCCAACTGTCAAAGGAAACAGGTGAGGCTCCTCCAGCCTCCGACGAACAGAAAACAGCAGATAAAGAGAAAGGAATTGTGCAATCGGAAAATGGTATTAACCAACCCGGTGAAGGAGAAAGCGGCAAAGACACAAAACCAGAATCTGTGGAGGACCAGCAAGAAACCGGGGAGGCAACTTTTTTGCCTGGGAATATCAAGCTTTACGAAATCTTCTACGATCAAGTGCTCAATCTGGTGAAGACTCGAGGAATTCCCATTCAAGATACCATTGCCCTTTTAGTTTCATTGACAAACCTTGCCCTGTGAGTCAAAGAAAAATACTTCCAATCTTCTCAAAGTCCAATGCTGACAGGCGTATAGGAACATATATCCAGACCGACTAGGTATCTATCCCCACCAACCCTTTTCAAACCAATGTGCTAACTGTTAGAAGAATATGTTGATCAAGTACTTCAGTACGCCACAAAGACTGCGACTGAGCACTCTGATAGTGCAGACTTCCATTCTGCGCCAGCCCAGTCAAGCATATTAAACCTTTTACTTGCTCCTCTCCAGTCATATGTTTCTATATTCACCGCACTATCTCTTCCAAATTATATCCCTTTCTTTGCCGCACAGTCGTATTCAACCCGAAGGGCAGTTGCTGGTGAAGTTGCACGAAATATTTTGCGAAATAGGACACTAATTACTTCACCTGAGAATCTGGATAATGTCCTACAGATTCTACGAGTTTTGATCAGGGAAGGAATGCAACAACCAGCTGGCTACCCTGGAGCTCAATCTCAGCGACGCGGAGGTGAAACCGAGGAGACAATCGAAGAGCAAGGCTGGCTGGCGCGAATAGTTCATTTAGTCCAAGGGTCAGACAATGATACGCAACTCAAGGTACGTTCGAGTTTCTTTAGAAATCAACGTTCTTTACAAAGAGCTAATGGTTTTCAAAGCTATTACAAGCATTGCGAACAGCTTATTTGGATGGAAATGAGCGTATAAGATACACCACACCATCTATAATAACATCCTCCATCAAGCTGGCCCGCAAGTTCAAGGCCCGCGAGCACTTTGATGATAACTGGCATTCTCAGTCATCCGCGCTCTTTAGGTTCATGCATCAATGTATCAGCGGTTTGTACCAGCGTGTGAACTCTGGTTGTGCTGATCTTGCATTGCGCCTCTTTGTACTTTGTGGACAAACGGCGGATGAAACTGGTTTTGAAGAAGTCAGCTATGAATTCTTCGCACAGGCTTTTACCGTTTATGAAGATTCTATTAGCGACTCAAGGGCGCAATTCCAAGCTGTCTGTATCATCTCAAGTGCCTTGCACGGATGCAGGAATTTTGGAAGAGAGAACTATGATACTCTCATCACCAAGGCTGCCCTTCACGGTAGTAAGCTTCTGAAAAAACCAGATCAATGCCGTGCAGTTTACTTGGCAAGCCATCTTTGGTGGGTCGTCGAAAGCCCACAGAAGGAAGGGGATGAACCTAATATTGTAAGCCTATTCTCATTAATACCTACTTCGTTTTATCGTATTTACAACTCACGATTCTATTCTTACAGGTTTATCGTGATGGTAAACGTGTCCTGGAATGCCTTCAGCGCGCGCTTCGTGTGGCAGATGCTTGCATGGATACTGCTGTATCCGTGGAACTCTTCATCGAGATACTGAACCGCTATGTCTACTATTTCGACCAGCAAAACGAGACAGTGACGACGAAATATCTCAATGGCCTTATAGAGCTCATATATTCTAATCTCCAGTCAAACCAGACCGAGGGAGTTCCAAGTTCCAGCCTGGAAAGCCCTAGACGCCATTTTGAACGAACTTTGGATTATATCAAATCTAGGGGGTGGGAAGGAGTTGTGACAGAGCCACCCAGACAGTAAATGAACCGGGGGCTTATGAGAAGGTGATGATACGATATAATATAATCCCGCGTTTTGCTCACTGTTCTTTGCATTGTAGTCAAATGTATAATGCGACGGCAATTTGTTTAATAGATCTACCTCTTCTTCCTTCATTCCTACATACATATACATGTGTACACTACAGGGAGAATAATTAAGTAACTCTTCAACGACGTTGAATAGAGCGTCTTCTAATTGAAAAGGGGGCGGTAACTAAATTCAATTGCTGAAAACGCCTCATGCATCCGATTATTCATCGTAAGGGCAAAATGCAGAAACGAGAACTACCCATAACAGCACGCCAGCTGCCCCCGCCGGCATACCAGCCAGTAGCATTATTTGCTTTCCTTGCTGAAAGTACAGTACATGAAAAATTCGTATGCACCCTAAGCAGGGAAATGTTTAACAAAGAAATGGAAGAAGAGCAAAGCCGAGGTTTTATTGTAACAATGCAAGAGGGTAAAGAGGAAGTTGAGAAAGACATGCCATGGAACCACGAAAGCAAGTAATAGACGAAGAGTGCAACGGCTGGAGAGCAAGCAAATGAGGTTGAGGAAACAAGCATTGGTATCTAGAGCTCCTAAGGAGTGTCGAGGGAGGACAGCGTAGGAAATGAGAATGGAGGGGATGAATGATAAGAGCCAGTAGTTAGGTAGGAGTGACGGTAAGAAAGGTTGAGAAGCGTTGTAAGAGGAACGTCAAAAGGAAAAAACCAAGACTCCTTTTGGGGGCTAGTGATACCATATTCGCAGCAAACATCCTAGCATCCAGCGGGAGGGGGAGCGTTGGTAGAAGGGAAGTATCTAGGATTGGAGCTACCAGCGCCGGCCGCAGTGCCGCCGCTGCCGCTACCTATGTGGGCAGGGTAGCTATTTCTCGGGACTGGGCTGCCAATGTCTCCAGGAGATGTGTTGGGCATGGTGGCGGATAATGGGCTAGTGCTTTCGGGCTCGAACTTGATGAAGGTCCCGCGAGGTCCGGCATAGTCAACAATAAGAGAGCCACCACCATTCTGTGAATTGCCTTCGGTATCACAGATATCCACAATCTCCTCTAAAGTAATTGGAGCGTCAAGTGGCGGGTTAAGCTGCTCGATTTGCCGTAGGACTTGGTTTGTGCTATGGAAACCAGAGCTTTCAGGAGAGCTAGCTGTGAGTTTTTTACACGCTTGACTAACCAGTAGACGGATAGTGACTGGTCTCGGGGTATGGGGATGGTGAGGTCTTCCAATAATACCGAAGGCTCCGGTAGACCATGTAGGGCCTTTAGAAGTTAGTTAGTACTTGCATGAGACTGTAGAAGGTTTAATTATGTTAAAAACTTACTTGGACCGGCACCCCAAGACGTACTGGCAAATCCTGGAGGTCCAAACGGAATTGCCGAACCCCATGTACCACCGCTGGATGGTGCTCCTAGAGGAAAGTTTGAGGTAGTGGTAGCTAAGAATAGATACAGTCAGATATCAAATGTATGTAAATAGCAGATCGGGCTTAGTGAAACATGACTTACATCCCAACGATTCGGAGAATAGAGGGGTCGTCCCGAACGCCATTCTTCCGGCTCCCGGAGCGGGTATCGGTTGCGAAGGCACAGTATTAAGGGGGAGGTCCGTATCATCCAACAGTGCACTGCTTCCCAGCTGAGTACTAAGTTCATCAACGTCCGGCTGGCCGGCCTTTGAGCGGTCCTTTCCATGGTCATGAACAGTACTAGACGGCCGCTGGATAGGGGCCGGGCGGGACCCTATAGGTTGATTGAGGGGAAGAGGCTCATTAGCACTCCTATCAATTGCCGCAGAGAGCTGACTAGTATGTCCATGCCCATGGGAGAGACTCTCACGGGGTATCTGGAGAGGTTGTGGGCCAAGAGTTCCCGATGTCATTAGCGGGGAGTGGAAAGCCAATGGATTGTGGGTTGATTCCAAGCCAAATCCCCTGCTCTGAGAAGAATGTCTAGGAACAATCCCTGGTGGAGCGGAGAGACCGTCTGGTGACCCAATTCCTCTAAACTGACCGGCAAGGGGGTTCGGGTACATGGGGTTCTCATGGCTTAAAGATCCACGATGTCCCATTCCTGGTACTCCAGCACTGGGGATACCATTTAAATTTGGCAGAGCATTGAATCCTGGCGGAGGTTGACCACTGCGGCCTGGCCCTCCCAAAGGCGACAGAGGCGCAGCTTGTTGCGGGTGGTGAAGGCTGCTCGGATGTGGTGCCATTCCCTTATTTGACACAACGCTGGACGCACCGGACGAATGCGCAGCTCCAGGAGAAATTGAGTTTTGCAGGGTATCGGCGTATGCAGGTTGAGAGCGAGGTGACGAAGCATGGGAGTCCTGCTGGGAAGCTTGCCTAGCTCGAACGGGCGTTGGCGCCTTTGGTATCACAGGCGTAGCAACCTGGAAATGAGGTGACTGAAGCAGATTTGGAGGTTGTGGATGGTGGAGCCCTGGCGGATAATAGGCTGCTCCAGGCTGTGAAGTCCGCTTTGCACCTTGAGCTGGTAGATGTTGTTCGGGCTGAATAGATCCCAACTCATCCCGTCTGTGTTCACGATCAGCCTTCGCCGCAGCGGCAGCAGCAGCGGCATCTTTTTCTCGTTTTTCTTGCTCTGCTTTAGCCTTCTGTTCACGCTCTTCTCTGGCTTTTCGCTCTCGTTGCTCTTTTTCTTTGGCCTCCCGTTCTTCCCGTTCCTTTCTCTTTGCCTCCTCGCGTTTCTTCTTCTCTCTCTCCTTTTGCTCTCGTTGCTTTCTCTCAGCCTCTGCCTGACGTTCACGCTCCTCCTTCAGCCGTCTTTGGCGATCAGCTTCTTTCCGGAGTCGCTCTTCCTCCTGAGCTTTCTTTTCGGCCTCCTTTTTCTTCCTTTGCTCTTCTCTCTTCCGTTGCTGTTCTTTGAGTTTCGCCTCTTCTGCTGCCTTTTGGGCAGCAAGCTCGGCGGCTCGTTCAGCCTCCCGTCTAGCTTTCTCCTCGTCCTTGGCTTGTTTCTGTAAGCGCTTTTTGTCCTTTTTCTTTTGCGCTTCTTTGGCTTTCTTTGCTTCACGCTCTTCATCCAGCCGGTTCTCTTCTTCAAGTTCCTCTATAAGCCGTTGCTGTCTTTCACGGGCAACCTTTTCTCGATAAGCTGTCAGAACCCGTTGCTCGAACATTCTAGCGGCGAATATCTGGAACATCCGCCGCCCTTCTTCCATTCGTTGCTCCTCCGTCATTGCATCCTGTGGCAAAGTAATTAGTATGGATACGTTTTCCTATTGTCCCTGAGAACCCTTGCTTAGAACAAACCATTTCGTCTTCTTCAAATTCATCGTCTTCCTGGCTATCATAGTCTTCATCCTCGTCATCGTCATAGTCTTCATCGTCTAATGGAGCTCCATGATTATGACCAGCTTGCATAGGTGGATGGCCCGCCGAAGCGAGATATTGTGTCTCCTCTTCACGCTGCATCCGCCGTTCTGCTAACTGTTCCATCATATCAATGAAATGTTTCCCGTCATTTTTTAGTAAATCGTCTGCTACTGTCAGGATCCCATCTGTAATATCATCCATTAGCGGTCGTCCCTAACCTTAGTAGATAACGAATGATGAAAGGGAAAGGGTCTTACCCTTCACTGTTAGACTATTTCCAAAGGCAAAGAAGTCGGCTCTAGTTGTCCTAGTGTCCACGTCGAGGTCATCATCACTATAAGGTTCCTCGTCTTCTTCATCTTCGTCGTCATAATCTTCCTCTAGTTCCTCGTCCTCCTCGTCTTCTGGTAGTTCGTGTACTCGCCCTCGTGACGGGTGTTGGGTGTTGGGTATGTGAGAGTGAGAGTGGGAGTGCGAGTGGGAATGGGAGTGGGAATGAGCGTGGTGATGATGGTGGTGGTGATGGTGTAGAGATCGAATAGGTGTTTGATATAGCCGGGGCGGTAGTCGAAGCGAAGTGCCGTTCTCAAAGGAGGCCTGGTTATTGTTGGCATACTGTTCCAGCTCTTCGTAATATGCGTCATATAATACCTCCAGCTCCTCCTCAATGGCTGTTCGTTTCCTCCCGCATACCGTGCAGCTGCAGGAATGCTTTTGCTGCTCTTTCATTTTCCGCAATACAGCTTCCTTCTCGACCTTGACTAGCGAACGGCGTTCCTCTTCGCCTAGCTGTAGCCAGAATTCTTTAATATTCTCCCGCTCTTCATGAGTTGACGTGTTCCATATGCGATCCTTGGATATTCTGTGAGCTGATCGATAGGCGTTGACGAGGGGCGGCGGTACTCCAACAGGGCGTGCCGAAGAGGTAAGGGGTGGTGGGGGTGGTGGTGGTGTTGAGTGGGATGTAGAGCTCCCTTCAGCAGTCTGGCCTCCATTCCGACCCTTTTTGCCTTTCTTCTTTTTGCTCTTCCGACTTCCAGCATTATTCTGGGGTTGACTCGAACCTCCATCGTTATTATTACTGTTATTATTATGTTGTTGATGATCGTCATGCTGGTTGCGTGAAAAATTCCGGTCGTCGTCCGAATACCATGCGCCAGGGTTGTCAATCGACTCGCTCTTGTTGTTAGACATACGTTGCTGCGTTGAGCTGCAGGTGTGCCCAAGCCTGGTGCCAGTATCATACCCGTCACTGCCATCCTGACCGTTTCTGTTTGTGGGGGTAGACGCATCACTACGTTGCTGTTCCGCGGCTAAACGAGCAGCTTGTTTCTGCCGCCGCTTCTGCTTCTTCCGGTTGACGGTAGGGGCCTGTAGATTCGATGGTTGGTTAACCAAGCACTTAGCTGGCAAGCTACCTGGACTTACGCCTTCTGTGGGTGGCATTGTGGACGTCGTGGTGCTAGCATTGGCTGGGGTGCTAACTGTGTTGGAGGAGGTTGGATTTTGACCCGATGAGCCTGCTGGCACTGTAGCTGATCGTTTCGAGTTGGAAGGCATTATTCTAAGGGGAAAGAAAGCTAGGCCCGTTAACTTTTCTGCAAGCGCGTAAAAAGGAAGATATGCAACGCCTCCAGAGTGCGGGAGTGACGACCGAAATTTGAAGTTTCCGTCCCCCGAAGGTTGTTGCAAAAGTAGTTTATAAGAAAAAAAAGGGCACGAGGAGATTGAGGAAAGGCTAAGACACTGAACGAAGGCGGTTCTTACTCTGAAGCCTCTAGGCGGATTTGAGCAAGCCCTCCAGGGGGAGCGACGGACGGCAGAGAGAGACAGTGCAAGCTCTCCGGAGGCGCTTAGACAGGAGATCTGGTCCGGAGGTATCGCGAGGTTGACGGAGGGCGGGGAGAAGGGGTTTTGACGCCGGCGATGACCAACGAAAAAAAGAAACAGGCGCCGCGAGAAAGGACAGCGAGGGCAGGCTCGGGGTGCTGGCAAGGGGCCCAGGAGGTCTAGCTGGTGGGAAACGAGTGCGTCTCGCGCTGGCGGCTCTGGTCGCTGACTTCGTCCTTCTTCGTCACTCTTCGCCTTTTTGATATTGGGTGGTGCAAACGGCAAAATGCAGCGAGGACAACCCAATCTGGCAAGATTAGACGCGGCAAGCGACGCTCGCCAGGCGCCCTCTCGCTCACCGCCCAACGGGGCCAGCGAGGCGTAATTTTGATACCGCAGGGCTGTAACTTTGCGGCGGGTGCCTGGCGCGAGGAAGCGTGTAATTTTCGGCGCTACCACGGTACGGCCTGTATTACGCTTTCAGGCCCAGTAAAATACAAAAAAAATTAAAAAAGGCGATAAGTAAGAAAACTCAGCCGCCTCTTATTTTTTTCTGCTTAGTTCTTAGTTTTATATTAAGTCCCGGCTAAGTAATGTTATATAGTATATCAGTTTAATTGATGCTAAGCGGGCGATGAAGGGCGGCGGGTTAGAAAGCTAGAGAAAAGGGAAGAATAAAAAAAAAAAGGGACAAGGAAGCGCGGAGAAGGATCGCGACTGAAACCTGAAAAGACAGACAACAAGAGACCTGCTGGCTCTTGATCATCTAACTAACTAATCAGTCCAGCCTTTTCTTTTCTTTTAGTGTGTATTACCCAGCTGTTTGTCGGTGGCTACGAGCTCTCTGGGAAGAAGAAGAAGAAGAAGAAGAAGCAAAAGGCGGTTGACAAACAAACTCTCCCTAGGCGAGGACTCCCTTTGCGCTGGCCTCTTACTTCCGTATTATCGTTCCATCCAGACACTGGCGCTGCTTGAGACGTGAGCTCGCGCTGAAAGAGCCTGGCCGTGTGCGATCGGATCGATCAGACGGCGGAGTGCATTATTCATTATTATTGCCTGAGAAGGCGAGACACGCAACCGCCAGCGAGACTGCAGGAAGAAACAGACACTCCTCCAGGGACCCTGCTTGTCTCGCACCGGATCCTCAAGGCAGACGGAGAAGACGGCATTGCGCATATGGTTGGCTAAGGTGATTACGTTCCTGTCTAGCTCATAATTGCTCCGCCTGTTCCAACCTTGGGCCAGCGTGCAGCCTCACCTGATGGAGCGTAGCTGACACCCGCTCGCTTTCGTGTTAGACACTCAGACATGGGAGTTTGAATAGTTCCGATATCCACCCCTACTAAATCCACGTCTCCATCCATCGATCTCCACGAGAAACTTCTCGCCGTCTATCCCTCTGTGACTGTCGAGAACTAGATTTCTCCCTACAAATTCGCGAATAAAACCGTCATCGTTCACCTCCTTTCCTCGCTGCTCGA